AGAGTTGGAAGCAGATGGGTGACTTCCCACCCATCTCTCACATGAGGCCTTCTGCAAAAGGATGGAGGGAGACGGGCTGTGGGGAAGAGGGGGTGAGGGGTGGGCTGGGGGGGAGGAGGAAGAAGGGAACGTCTGCCACAGGGCAGCTAGCACGGGTTTCCTTCCAAACAATGGAGGGTGCTGCAAAGGACGGGAATGAACCGTTCAAGTCTCGATTCCTCTCCCAACTATACAAATAAGCTTGATTCCCCCACTGGTTATACAAACAGGGATGCGGGGCCTAAGGCTGTACAGATCCCCACCCACTGCAGTCTGACCCATGAGCAAAGCTCCCTCTTAGCTGTGGAATCTTGTGAGCAAAAATTCTACTTTGTGAGCCACTGGCATTAAAGTTGTGAGTGAGCGATTTGGCTGCTGCATGATTTAGTTTGCTCTGGAGCCCTCCTTCCTGAGCTAGGACAAAAATGTGTGAGACGGAGGCTAAAAACCAGTGAGCTAGCTCACACGAACTCAGCTTAGAGGGAACACTGCCCACGAGCCCTCCCCAAAATAGAGCCCAAAGGGGTTTCTTTTTTCCTGAAAAGATGCAAGCGCTCACACGGTCCTCTGAAAATTTCCCAGTCCCAGTTGAATACACTGATCCTGTCTATGAAGGTCAGAAGAAGGGGGATGCTGCAGCTCCCACAGACACAGACTTGCACTTCTGAGCAAACCTGAACCTTCTGGATTTCTTTCGTATCGCCATTTCATAATTACAGCAGTTGTGTAGCCCTGCTGCGCCCTGACCTGGATGGCCCAGCCTAGCCTGAGTTGGCCAGATCACAGAGGTTAAGCAGGCTCAGTCCTGGTGACTACTTGGCTGGGAGACCACCAAGGAAGTCCAGGGTTGCTGCATGGAGGCAGGCACTGGCAAACCGCCTCCGAGTATCTCTTGCCTTGAAAGCCCCATTAAAAGGTAAAGGTTTCCTTGCTCGAAAGCCAGTCGAATCCGACTCTGGGGTTGCGGTGCTCATCTCCGTTTCAAAGCCGAAGAGCCAGCGCTGTCTGAAGACGTTTCCGTGGTCATGTGGCTGGCATGACTAAACACCAAGGCGCACGAAATGCTGTTACCTTCCCACCGAAGTGGTACCTGTTTATCTACTTGCAATTTCTTGCTTTCGAACTGCTAGGTTGGCAGGAGCTGGAACCAGAGACGGGAGCTTACTCCGTCATGCGGCAACCCGGGTCTTGAACTGCTGAACTACTGACCTTCCACAGCCTGCAGTTCAGCGTCTTAACCACTTGAGCCACCGCAGCTCCTACGAAAACCCCAATAGGGGTCGCCAAAAGTCAGCTGCAACTTGACAGTTTGCACACAAACACACCCACCCACACCGAGCACTTCTGAGTGTGAGAAGTGCTACGTGTACCTTATCTCAGTAATCCTGACAACAGTCCTGTATGGTAGGTCACCACTGCTGTCCCCGCATTGTGGATGCAGGGATGAAGGGTGGCAGAGAAAATGTCTAAACTGGGGGCTTTGGGGAGCACAGTCTCACCAGCCAAATGACTCTCTCCCCATTGTGAGGCTAAAAGGTGGCAATCTGAGAGGCGATGCGGAGTAGTGGTTAGAGTGTCAGAGTAGGACCTAGAAGATCCGAGAGGAAATCCCCACCCAGCCATGAAGCTCTACGGGTGACAGTGAGCTAGTCACTCTTCCTCAGCCTTTCTTAACTTCACAGGATTGTTGTGAGCAAGAGAACGAAGAGAGGACCGTTTGCACCACCCCGAGCTCTTTGGCAAGGGCAGGGGGTTAAAAACAGATATTTTCCCTACCTCCCACTTTAAGGTTGACCTGTTGTGGACTATAGAATCCATTCACTAAATCTGGACAAAGAGAGACTGATGAATATTAATTTCTGGACTCTGTTCATCTGGACGTTTACAAAACCTCAAGCTTGAACCTCTTTTGAAAAGAGGTGGTGGATGTTATTCCATTCAGTAGCCAGGAGTGCGAGAGGGAGGGCAGCATGGTATGTGTCGATCTCATCAAATCTTGGAAGTTAAGCTGGGTCGGTAATGGGAAGGTCTGGAAGGACATGGCCAACCACCTCCCCACTTGCCTTGAGAGCCCCCTGCTGGGGTCACCATAAGCCGGCTGCAAATTCTATTGAGATATATGTCAGAGTGATAGAGGTAGCAAGCAGTTACTACAGATCAGTTTGATCTGTTTGTCAGACCTAGCTGTCATGCTAGTAATCATGTAATTACAGCCAGGTGTTTTCTAGCAGGTGTTGCTCTTTCAGGGGTTGTTAGAGCTAGTGATTACATCACCTTGTTAGAGATTGGCTGGGGTTTAGCATAATAGCTATCAGCTTAGTAAACTGGATGGGGACTCAGTTCTCATAGACTAAGGCACGACATGCTGTTCAATAGCCTGTAAATATCTCTGTATATATTCACCTTTATAACTATATAAACTCTCTGTGCACCTTCATAACTGGTCAGTCTCCCGCTTCTTATTTACAACACCCAATAAATTCATGGCACTTTACACACACACAAACACAGAGCCAGGAGTGCATCCTTTAGGATGCTCCTAATTTTACATTATATGTATTTGCCACCGTTTGCCATCACCCTGAACATGGTATATGGTATATGGCATAACAGGAACTGAAAGGAATGGTGGATCTGTTGCTCTAATGGAGGCTCTTTCTTCCAACACCAGCAGTCTTCCCCACTTGTAAGAGCCCACATAGAACAGGATCAGAATAGATCAGGGGGGAAAAAAATTGGAGAAGCCATCTCTGTAGTGCCAGGGAAAGGCTCCAATGTTAAATATAGCTGTGCAGGAATCATCCATTCCTAGTGGCGGTGCCTCAGTCATCTTTGCACATTATGTTTCCCCCCCCCCCAATGTACATCTTAGAAGTATCTCCAAGTGTGAATATGACAAACAGGTCCACTTATCAGACAGCCACTCAGAGTAGACAATGCTAAGCTTGATGGACCGATGGTCTGATTGGATGAAATCATATGAAGTCAAGCCATACTCCCAATCAGACCATTGACCCACCAAACTCAGTACTCTCTCTCTCTCTCCCCCCCCCCATTACTGCTCATACAGCTATCGCCTTAAGCAGAAATTAAAATGGGAAAAACTAATGTTATTGTCCTGGTGTTTAATTATTGCCCCTATATATTTTGCCACAGAAAGGGTAACAAAACCATCTGTATTTGATCGTAGCCATGTCACCTGAGCTCTCAGACAATTCCGTATTTTTAAGCAGACGGGTGATTAAGCTAGCCCTCAGCTCATTAAATATGGGACACTCTATAATCATGTGTTCAGCAATGTTCCCTCTAAGCTGTGGAGTCTTGTGAGCAAAAATTCTACTTTGTGAGCTACTGGCATTAAAGTTGTGAGCGAGCGATTTGGCTGCCGCATAAATCAGTTTGCTTTGGAGCCATCCTTCCTGAGCTAAGACAAATATGTGTGAGCCAGAGCCTAAAAATCTGTGAGCTAGCTCACACTAACTCAGCTTAGAGGGAACTATGGTGTTCAGTGGTTTCAACTTTATCATATGAGCATCTGCATGTTCTGTTAGCATATGGTACTTTATCATATCTGCCCTCCAAAACCACCAAGGTAAGGGCATTCATTCTTGGCTTTGGTACTGTCAAACGATAAAAGTACTTCGGCAGCTGCATCGGGATGGCAATACCCCAGGAGTCCTGCTGCATCGGGAGTCGAACATACCCCAGGATCCCTAACAGACGTACTAATAATATCCAACTTCCTAACACACCTTTTTTATTTGCCTAATTATATCTTTGGTCTCCGTAAACCTGACCATATTGTTTTGTTATTCCTAGGCACTTCATGTTCTTTCCCAGTAGCTGATTCCATTGGCTATTATATTTATCTGCCTGGATGAGTTTAAATAGAGTGGGCCCTCCCTCGGATGTTAAGATCTCTACTTTAAGAAGAAATTCAGTACTGTCTACTCTGATTGGTAGCAGCTCTACCAAGGTTTGAAAGGCCTTTCCCAGTATATGGCACCTAAGAACCTTTAGTGGAAGACGCTTGAGACTGAGCCTGGGACCTTCTGCATGCAAAGCAGTTCAAAGCCCCACTGGTGGACCTCCTGATGGCACCTGGTATTTCTGGCCACTGTGTGATACAGAGTGTTGGGCTGGATGGGCCTTTGGCCTGATCCAACATTGGCGTCTCTTATGTTCTTATGTTCTCTTAAAGCAGGTCCTCTACCACACAGCCACGGATCTCCTTGTCAAATTGATTATCAGTGTGGCAAACCCAGGTTTGATCTACATGAAGTGGCCCTAAGACTGGGAGCCTATAGAAGAAGGGAGAAGAAAATGGGCACTGGATGGAGTGTTAAGGCACCACAAAAGGACAAGGCACAAATCCCCACTCTACATGTTATCCTTGGAAGAAGACATGTGCATGGTATTGCTTCTTACCATGGCACTATGGTAACACATGGGAACTTCCTAGGAGGTGGGAATCAGTCAGTGGGGAAAAAAAAGAAGGCATCATCCTATGCATGATTTCACATGCACACATACACAGGTTGAATCAGTCCATCACTTCACCAAGGTCAGTACTGTCCGCTCAGACTGGCAGCAGCTCTCCAGGATGTTGGGAAGAAGTCTTTGACATCACTTACTACCTGGCCCTTTCAACTGGAGATGCCAGGGATTGAACTTGGGACCTTCTGCATGCCGAGCACATGCCCTATCACTGAGCCACAGCCCCTCCCCTTTCCTTTAGGTGTTGACATCACATCGGCTAATCCTGAGACTTCCCAGTGTGCACTATGCAAACTCGAGGGATTAGCACAGACTGCACATGGATATTCCACAATTTACAGGTATGGCATCTTAAATCAGCTCACTGGAGCCACAGAGATCTCCCCACACAGATGCATGCTTCTCACTCTCCCTCCCCCAAGTAGCAACTACATGTATCTGAAAGAAAAGGACCCCACACAAACCATGCAACCAGTAGAATCCAGTTTCCTATCTGCAATGCAGCGGAAGTTTTTACTGCAGCCTCCGTTGTCCTTGGTGCAATCCCGAACGGGCCCAAATGAATCCAGAAGAACCTCCAGGCTGTCAAAGGAGGAGGAAGTCATCAGTTCTTCCCTGCCATTGAGAGAGAAGGAAAAAAACCCACCCAGAATTGTTATTACAACTTTGTCGGAGATTGTACGTATAAAACAAAGATTCATGTCTCTGCCCAGAGACGCTTACGGTTTTATTTATTTAAAATGTCGATATCTGGGCCATTCCACAGAGCTCAAGGCAAATAATCACCTAAACAAAATTCATTTAAAAGACTGGCCTGGATTTAACGGGCCATTAACAAAGTGAAGCAGGCTACCTGTATCCGAGTGAGACAGCCACATGAATGAACCATGCAATCAGTAGAGTCCAAAATCCAATGAACAATACAGCAGAAACTTCCCCCACACTCCCTGCTGTTCACTGAATGGAAGGCACTGGGGGTCTAAAACTCAGGACTCCAAGGCACAGTGCCTTACTCCTGTGCCCCCACAGACCCAGGCGAGCCTGAATCTGAAGGGTGCCACAGTGCCAGGCTGCAAGCCCAGCCTAGGCCAGCCCAGCAGAGACAGGTGACGGAGAGATCCAACCAGGGCAGGATGAACAGCTATAAAAGTGCTGTCTCTGCCTCAGTTCCTTAACTCTAGAAACTAGTTCAGTGTGAAAGGACCTAACTCTGTTTGCTGACTGGACATTGGTCTCTTGCCTGCCAAAACTCTTGCCCCTAGCCCCACCGCTTGCTTCTGGGACTCAACGTTCTGTCTCCTATAACTATGTGAACGAGCATCTTCTCCCATACGTCCCTGCCCAGGAATTAAGATCACAGGGAGAGGCCCTCCTGAGCATCCTGTCGATCAAAGACGCTTGTCTGGTGGGTACATGAGAGGGCTTTTTCAGTGGCAGCCCCATGGTTATGGAGTAGTCCCCCCAGGGAGGTGCGCCCGGGCCTTTCATTTTCGATCTTTAGGAGGCAGTTGAAGATGGTTTTATTTAGGACCGCATTTGAATATTTTACCGGCAGCCCTAAATTGTGATTTTAAACCCTGGGTTTTTTATGCATTATATGCATTCCATTTTATGTCTTTTATCCATAAGTCAGAAAGGTAGTTAATACGTGTTTTAAATAGGGGTGTGCATTTGGTTTATCTGAGCTGGGAAATAACAAAAAAAATACCTTACTGGTATTTTTCAAGTATTTTTTTCAGCTGGGTATCAGCTTGGGTATTTATCCAGCTATCTGATACAGCCGAGCCCAAAAAATCCAAAAAATATTTGGGATTTTTCGGGATCACCGGATAGCTGGTGTTAAAGGGTGTTTAAAAGGATTGCTTGCAAACAGGTAGCTTGCAAAAGGCATTTAAAGGGAACATGTTCCGTTTAAATGTCTTTCCCCCTCCATTAAAAACAATGGACAATGGAGCACCTTCTTCTGGGGCCCAGAGAATTTGATCTCCAGTCTGATCTTTTTGAAACTGGGGTGTGTGTGTGTGTGTGAGGACAGGCACCAGCAGCTATTCCGAATATTTACCAAATCCCAATACCATACTGATATTGGGATTCAGGAATATCGGGAAACACCTATACGTTTCGGGTTCAATAGACCCAAATGTGAAAAATTGGGTTTTTTGCACACCCCTAGTTTTAAACAAACAAACATCTGCCCCTGGCTTCACTTAATACTTATTGCACATGGCCTCAAGTTAGCGAACAACTCTCTTCTCTGACCATTTCAGCGTTCTACTCAGGAAAGTGGATCTAACTAGAATCCGTCTGGCTGACCCTGACAGCAAACTTCATAAAACTGCATTCTTGAGGACCAGCAGACCCTCACAAACAGTACAGGGGAGGGCAAAGTGGAGGTCTGCAGTGGGAGGGGGGAATCAGAAAAAAATCTCCCCCCTCCTCCACCACCGGAAGTGCCACTTGGATAGCATAAGTGCCATTACCCTCATGGAACAGCTCCTCTGGATACAATCCAGTAAACATAGATCTGTATAAATATGCCATCAGCTATTAAGAGGGATCAGCACAGCAAGAGTAAAGGTCACTAAATCAAGCCAAAGCTACGTCAGCCAGATTATGAGCACACCAATCCTGGCCGACACGTCAGCAGAGCACTCTGTGGAAAAGACACCCCTCCCTGATGGCTGACAATGAAGGTGCCCTTTTTGCCAATTCTGGCAGATCATGCTACGTGGGGGAAGGCTCAATCGTGAGTACATAAGAACATAAGAACATAAGAGAAGCCAATGTTGGATCAGGCCAAAGGCCCATCTAGTCCAACACTCTGTGTCACACAGTGGCCAGAAATACCAGGTGCCATCAGGAGGTCCACCAGTGGGGCCAGGACATTAGAAGCCCTCCCACTGTTGACCCCCCACAAGCACCAAGAAGACAGAGCATCACTTGCCCCAGAGCCCCTATCTATACCTTGTGGCTAATAGCCACTGATGGACCTCTGCTCCATATGCTTATCTAATTCCCTTTTGAAGCCGTCCATGCTTGTAGCCGCCACCACGTCCTGTGGCAGTGAATTCCAAGTGTTAATCACTCTTTGGGTGAAGAAGTACTTTCTTTTATCTGTTCTAACCCGACCGCTCAGCAGTTTCATGGAGTGCCCACGAGTTCTTGTATTGTGAGAAAGGGAGAAAAGTACCTCTTTCTCTACCTGCTCTTTCTCATGCATAATCTTATAAACCTCGATCATGTCACCCCTCAGGCGTCGTTTCTCCAAGCTAAAGAGCCCTAAGCGCTTTAACCTTTCCTCATAGGGAAAGTGTTCCAACCCTGTGGGTGTGTGGAGAAGGGACAAGTGGTGGGGATTCCTGTAATGAAGGCAGTGGCTACACGGGTTCATATAGGGCAGGGCTCCCCAATCTTGTTGAGCCTGTGGGCAGTTTTAGAATTGGGAAAATGGAGACTTGGCATAATACAAACAGGGCTGCCACAGGGGAGAGGGGTCTGTCAGTCACAGAAGTTTGGAAGGTTGCGGCCAAGCCTTCTCCTACAATGAAGGGTGCTATTTCTGAACGGGTGGTTCCTACAGCTACAAAAGTGATGCCTCCTGGGTTCTCCTGCAGTGATGACATGGCAAACAGGGTTTTGGGGGTTTTTTGGGGGGGAGGGGTTTTGCCATCAAGTCACAGCTGATTTATGGCAACCCCGGTAAGGTTTTCAAGGCAAGAGATATTCAGAGGTGGTTTCCCATTGCCTGCCTCCACGTCACAACCCTTGTGTTCCTTGATGATCTCCCATCCAAATACTAAACAGGGACGACCATGCTTAGCTTCTGAGATCTGATGGGCTCAGGCCAGCTTGGGCTACCCAGATCAGGGCTAGGAACACCTAGGACTGGCTACTTGCTTTGAAGAAGAGGAGAAGCAAGTGGGTGCCAGGAGACAAAACTGGCAGATGCCACGATGCCCACCCCTATTTAGGGAAAGGCAGTCTTTCAGGTCTTTAAAATGAAAAACCAGGTGGGTGGGTGAAAGTGGGAAAGACCAAATGTACCGAGTAGGGGAAGAGTAGCCAGAGCAGGACAGAGAGCAGAACTGGAATGTATTGATTAATTCAATTTCTGTGCCGCCTCTTCAGAGAACCTGCTTGAGGTAGCTTACAAAGTAATACGAGATAAAAAGCCAAATACATCATAAAAATTATTAGCAATTAAAACCCTCCACCGGAGCATTAAAAAAGCCAAAACCTTGAAATGATTCTCATAAAACGGTTTTTGAGCTAGAAGCAGAGTATGAAAAGCGGTGTTAAAGATCAACCCCTCTGTGAAAAGCCAGGGCACAAATAAACATTTTGTCCTCGCACCTCGAAGACAGTAGGGTACGTGCCTACTACTCTCCCATGAATCCACACAGATCCCCCTTTCCTGTGTGATAATAATAGCCATAGTAATATTTCATCTAGTTCCCATCGATATGCACGGTCACAAAGTAATAAGCAAGAAAAGAGGTAAGTGCCCCACGGAGCACAATCTAAAAGATCAGGGTTCTGGAGAGGTGGCATATAGATTTCCTAAACAAATAAATACCATTCGATACAGGGGAGTGTGAATGTACCAGGGGGAAGAATATGCATTCAGTTCAATTGTATCTAATTAGGCTGCTTCAGACCAGGTCTACTAGCAGGGCTCTTTTTGTAGAAAAAGCCCAGCAGGAACTCATTAGCATAACAGGCCACACCCAACAACAGAAACTCATTAGCATATTAGGCCACATCCCTGGCGGCACAGCTCATTAGCCCATTAGGCCGCACCCCCATGTTATCAGAAGTGTGGTCATCTAGCCACACCCACTTTTTGCTTCTTATTCTGTTTACCTTGTTTGTTGTCAAAACCCAGGGCTTTTTTTGGAGCAGGAACTCCTTTGCATGTTAGGCCACACACCCCTAAAGTAGCCAATCCTAATGCGTTCCTGCTGTTGGGTGTGGCCTATTATGCTAATGAGTTCCTGCTGGGCGTGGCCAACTCGGGAGCCAGCCAGAACTCCGTTCCTGTGCGTTGCTGCCCAAAAATAGCCCTGACTAAAGGGTAGAGCCAAAGGCTTCCCAGGAGACACGGGCTTGAAGAAAGATTTGAAGAAAGAGAGAGAGAGGCAGGTGTGCTGGCTGGCAGGGAGTTCCAGGCATTAGGAGCACGAAGGGAGGAAGGGCTGCAGGTAGAAGGCTAACTTGTCCCATGAAACCCGGGCAACCTCATTTTCACCTGCAGCTTCTTGTTCAACAGTGCTCTTAGGAGGCACCTACCTGACCTCCACAGCATCTTCCATCACAGTCATGTCTGTCTTGCACTTGGCTGAGGGGTTGATAGCCAGTGCAGCAGGCGGGATCACAAAGCTCTTGCTCAGGGGTAGCCACATCCCTTCTCCAAGAGTGTACGTGAACCTGGAAGCAGGGGAGGAAGGAAAGTCATACAACGTATATCAAAACTAACCCTCCATTTTGATGGGGGTCCCCATCCATTTAGGGCTTACTTGGGAGAGCGTGCCCATTTCCAGATCACCTTGAACTCGTCTGCCATTGTGTCCCATCTCTCTCTGAAGACCCTCCCTGGCCTACGACTGTCAAGCTATTTTTACTGGGCACTAAATGCAATTAATGCGTACAAATGTTTTGAGTTCTACCGACTAAAGGGCATTGAAGAATGCCCCTGCCAGTTAGTGATGTGCCCCCAGGAGATTCTGTTCTACACTGCTCCCAAGAAGATGTGTACTCTGCCCTTGCCTAGAAAAAAATTCTTCCACCATTGATCAGCCACAGAAAAGACAGTCTGGAGGTACAGAAACCACAGCATTATGACCAAGTATGCACATTTAGCAGTTATGCAACCCTGTGGACAACCCAGTAAGGCAGGAATCCCAGACAAAATCCAACCAGAGTGGAAAAGGAGTGCCTGGCAATCAACCAGCGTACTGGGACCAGAGACCAGCATCCAAATTTTGAATAGATGCAAATATTAATAATGCATTGAATCTCTGACCTGGATAGCCCAGGCAAGCCCGATCTCGTCAGATCTCGGAAGCTAAGCAGGGTCGACTCTGGCAAGTATTTGTATGGGAGACTACCAAGGAATACCAAGGAGGAGGGGGCAGGCTTTATTCAGCCACCTCTCTGAAAATCCTCCAGGGCCCTAGTAGGGGTCAGTCACCAGAGGTCACCATGACTTCCAGGAACACACACAGGCACACACACAGAGGCACATATAAAAAAAATGCATTGAATGAAAAGCTGTTATTCCTGGTGAATTTTATGTCTGCTAATATTTACACGTGTGCTTTTGATTTATTTATTTCATTGTTATCCCATCCTCTTCCAGGATGGTATACACAGTTTCCTTCACCTTCTATTTTATCCTCCCAGCAATAGTGAGGGGTAGGCTAGACCAATACTGGTCTTCAACGTCTTCAAACCTGAGAGCCGCTGAGCTGCAAGCCCATGATATCAGAGTCACATGACAAGAAAGAGGGGGAGTCAGAGGTATGACCTCACTGACAACAAAGCCAGAACTCTTGGCAGCAGAAAAACAGAACAGGGGACAGGAAATGCAACCTGAATACCAGTGGTGTACCGTCTTAAGGAACAAGCCAAGGGTAAGAGCCATGGAAGAACCCTCTCCACGGCTGAGTGACCTCATGTGCTCTCCCTCTTAGCACGTGTGCATACCGAAGCAGCAGCCATATTGTCAGTATTCTTTATGCATACACACCAGCAGCAGGTCCTTCCAAAAGCTGAAAAAACTTCAGGGTCCCAAGCCATAGGGCTGAAGATCCATTGGGCTAGACTGAGAGACGCTGATTGACCCAACTGAGTTCCATGGGGAAATGGGGACTCTATCCACTTAGGATCTTATTTATATTTACTTGGGATGCTACCTCTTCTGAGTCCTGCATGAGTCTCAGGGATGCTGTGATAGGCCTTTTCTACCAACTACGGTCTGGGACTCAGAACCTGCTGGATGTGCCTGGTCCCCGGGTTATCAAACTTGTTACGACCAGGAACAGGGCGTTCTCGGTGGCGGCTCCTATCTGGTGGAACGAGCTCCCAGAGGAGATCAGGGCTCTGCGGGACCTAGCACAGTTCCGCAGAGCCTGCAAGACGGAGCTCTTCCGCCAGGCGTTTGAATAGGAGCCGCCACCACCATGGTACCATCTACGCCCCAAGTCTTGTGGACAGAGTCAACATGATGTGGGCACCTTGAAAAGAGGATGAGACTTTAGGAGATCGCCATCTTGTTCCTACGAAGTGAGCACCAGATACTGTTCTGTTTGTATAATGTTTTAATATTTGATATTATTTAATATTTTTAAAGTTTTATTGTTGTATCATATTGGGAAATCCTTGTAAGCCGCCCTGAGCCTACGGGGAGGGCGGGATAAAAATCTAAATAAATAAATAAATAAATAAACAAACTGAGAGTACTCACACAGCCTCCTGTGATTATGGGGACTCAGGTTTGTTTTAACTATAACCCTTCCCCTCAGTTGCTGGGTGTTCTTAAGGTAGCAAGTGTATAGGAATGGGTTTGCTGCCGTGAGGTAAGTTTTGTGGGGTGCAAGTAGAACATAACTATCATTGAGGCATGATTGTTATATAAACAACACGGAAAACTTATTTATTTACACGGAAAACTTATTTATTTACAGGTTGGCTTCAAAGAACAGCTCAGCAGCACAGGTCTCCAAGTAGACAACACAGAAATCTGGCTGAAGCACATAGATTTAAGCTAGTCAATGGTTTCAGAGTGTGGTTTGAATTTTCTATAATGCTTTCAGGCACAAACAGGCTTTTACTGACTAGCGGCTAGGCTGGATTCTTTCTCATATGCAGCAGAGTCCACCCATACAAGCCTGCCCTTTCCCAAGAGTCACGACTAAATGGCACAAGGTCCGCTCATTACCAGAGACAGGCCTCACAATTGGGTACTCTATTCTCTCTCAGAGATAGAGCAGAACCACTCTGCCACACCACCAGGCAGCGCTACCCTTCACTCTGTCTGCTCTTTCGCTGAGCCAGACCTGAGCTGTCTCTGAGGCAGATCTCAGCTCTTGCTGTGCTTCCCTCCAGTATTCCATCCCCCCTCCTGAAAGGTGATTGGATGCTGCAGCAGCACTCCCATAGGCTCCAATAGGCACTCCCATAGCACTCCTATAGGCAGGACAGCCTCCTGTCCATCACAGATGCCTCTTCAGGAGGGGTCTCATAACCACTTCTTTCAAACCCTCCCGCAGAGAGGCATTTATTACCTCCTGGATCCAGTCAACCAACCCAGCCCGGCAAGATACTATTACTAGTAGCTATGCGGGGCAAGACTGGATATGGTGTGCCACAAACTTCAAAGTGCCTTGCCCGCTTCATCAGGCCTCACCGACTGAAAGTCACCTATACAACTAGTACCAGACTGTGTTCCGATAACATCCTGAGACAGAACCAGGCCAACTGTGGTGTCTAAGTTATGGCCGAAGCAAGCAATTTCATCTGCACTGCAAAGGAATCAAGGTGGGCTTGTATGTTTTCTGGGTGAACATCCTCTGGGGTTCGAAATAAGAGCCCCCTCCACAACCTGGAAAAGCTCAGCTGGATGGCATTGTGAGACGCAATTGGGGAAGAGCTTGCCTTGCTCTCATTACTGCCATAGAATAGGCACAATAATGTGCTCTCGCTTGTGTTTGGTCATATTCACTTCCAGTTTTTCTCCACTTCCACTCTAACCATTTGTCCAACCATTTTGTTGTCTAAACCAAGGGGCATTCCAGACTCCATGGGAGGAAAGAGGGTATTCAGGGGCAATTGCGTTAAGGTTGCCAGGTCTACTTACCTGGCTGACGGGGGTTGGGAGGGAGCCTTCCAAGAATGGGGAGGGTGGGGCGACACTGTTGCGTGCGGCATTGCCAATGTGATGACATCACATGGAAGTTATGTCATCACACTGGGCACATTGTATGGTGACACACTAACATTTTGGTCAAAACTCTATGGTTACCATAGAGTTTTGGCCAAAATGCTAGTGTTGCTGTGTGACATGCCCGGCGTGATGATGTAATTTCCATGTGATGTCATCATGCCGACAATGGCAATACGGGAGGGGGCTGTTCGGGGGTGGGGCTTCCCCTGCTGGCCATCTGGCTGGCGGTGGATTGGAACCCCAAAATCAGGGGAACCCCCACCTTGACCAGGGGGCTGGCAAGGCTAAATTATGTCCACTTGCTTTCTGGGGGGAGAGGTTGCCATTACCCCTAGAATTCTGCCTTTGAAAGCAAAAGCAAAAGTTTTGAAGCAAGTTGTCACTTTACAATCCTCTATCGTAATCCTGTTTCTGAAGTGTCAGATTCCCAATTAACATGCATTATTGCTCTCATTCACACTGTTTGGCGGCTTGTAGTCTTGGGACTGCAGGGGTATTCTCGCAAATTTTAAAGTGGTTTAATGCAGAAAGGTTTAAAAATATTAAGATGATGCACCTGTTGTGAGAACCCAAAATAAAAGTTCACATAAATGCAACCTGAATCCCAAGTGAATGTGCAGACTTCTAAGGTTTTAGTGTGGCCGCCAGAATTTGGGGATCTGGTCTACAAATAGATAGATCTGCAATATTTCATCAGACTTGCCATTTTTTTTGCCCAGTAGCTTTAGCCCTCTGATGTTCCAATTGGATTAGTGGGGATCATCACATGGTACTATATTGCCCCGTGGTTATCAGGTCTCAAGTGCAATGCATCAGTGTACCCAAGATCACTGCAGGACTACCTTCAGTGGAAAGGAGGAAACCCAGTTTCTTCTTCCCTTCCATCTCAGTTTGCTCATGCTTTCTCTTTATTTTACTTTATTCTATTTATTTCCAAATTTTATATTCAATCTTTCAACCCAATCAGGGCCACCAAGGTGGCTAACACTAAAAACAGAGCAGTATAAAAACACACCATAAAATATAAAACAAATCATAAAACAAGTCAAAAGCAAAACTAAAGTACACATGTACACACACACACACACACAGAAACAAATATCAATTAAAAACATAGAGCAGGAAGGAGGGAATAATACAGGAAAGGTCAATGGACAAGGAGAAGGGAGGTTAATGTAACTGGCAGTCACACTGCCCATCTTAAAGCTCACCTGAAAATCTTGTCAGAAGGTTGTTCGCCCAACACCAAATCAAATCCACGCTGAAATATGGTATATGGCCATGGCCTGGAGAAAAACAATATCACATCATCCACAAAAAAATCAACGTTTCTATATGCAAAAGTCAGATTATCGTCATTGGAAATTCCACACTTCTTCTTCTTCTTCTTCTTCTTCTTCTTCTTCTTCTTCTTCTTCTTCTTCTTCTTCTTCTTCTTCTTCATCATCATCATCATCATCATCAGATGATGACTCATCAGCAGAAGAAATGACACAAGTTGGATCCTACTAGCTTTTCCACTCCAACTCACCGAATTCCCCTCCTTACTCCATCCATCATCTCACATGGCTTTTGTACACAGAAGTCCCATAATGCCCAGAATAACTTTTTTGGGTGGGACTCATCCTTCCTTTTTCATCAGTAGAAAAACAGGTTGGATCTAAGCCATACTTTGGATCCCCCCCAAGAGAACTGAAGATGTGACAGCAGAAATATTGTGGGGAATTATTGTTATTTGGAAGGGGGTCAAAAGGGAGAACGGAAAAAAAATAATGCTGTCTTGGAACCAACAATGATCTAACCAAATCAAACTGGAAATGGAACTCAAAGGGACAGGAGATTAGCAAGTGTAAAAGATGCTGGCGTTAAAGAAAAACAACCCCCTAAAATTGAACACAGTTTATAAAGCAGAACAATCTCTTGTTTAAAGCAAAAGAAATTAGAGTTTGGAAATAAAAATTGTCAATGTTGTTAGTAAGGATGGTCACACGTGAAATACGGAAGAAACTCATCCCTCAAATAAAAAGAGATGCTGGATGCATTGAAAGACTGCTCGAGATCTCTAAGCAGTTTAGATGCTATTATAAACTGCTGCATAAATGACTTTGTAGATGATGATATAGAACTTTGTAGCTAAATTTCATATTCCCAAATTTTCTCATTTACAGCTTGAATTTCTCAAGGCAGATTATTCAAAAGTAATGAACCAAATGGTTTAAGGGCCTGTAATATAACATGGTACTATCAGACAGGGAAATCAGATGTGCTCAAAGATTGGAAAAATGAAGACAAGTATATATTGGGATTAAAAAAGATATTAGGCCACATCTTAACTGAACTTATTTGGTTTCAGGGAAGGCAATGTAAATTTGGGTTTAGTCTCCCTCCTTAAAGTCTGGTATAAGTGGTAATCAAAAATATCTCCAGATTTCCCTCCTCTAAATTCAATAGTTTATAATGAAGAAAATATTTCTTATTACACACACACACACACACACATATAAGGTGATAAGAGGGATCGACAAATTAGTCTTTTGGCAGTTATCAACACAGTCTTCCTGCAAAAGAAACTGCTCCGTTAGATGGATGAGGAGAAAGTCATAGGTGATGAGCACACAGGCTTTAGAAGAGGAAACTTTTGTATAGACCATTGTTATACGCTGGCCTTGTTGATAAGTAAATATTTATTAGATACTCCTGGACATTTGTATTCAGCATTTATTGATTTAAGAACTGTTTTTGACTCTGTGTCCCAGGCTTGTTTATGGAACAGGCTTTATGCCACATGTTTGCCTACTAGATCGCTGAAACTAATTATGAATCGCTACTCTGACAACTCAGTATAGGTCAAATTAAATAACTCCGGATCTGTGTCCAATCAAATCCCTGTTTAGAGAAGAGTACAGCAGGGCTGTGTCCTTGCAGCCCATCTCTTTAATTTATATCTGAATGACTTTGAACCGGCGTTAATGGTAGGGATGTGCATTCAGTTCACATGAGCCAACCCCCCCCCCCAAATAATGCCTATTCGGCATTATTCAGGCATACCAAAAGCTGAATCAGATTAAGGAATCTGATTCAGCTGGCCGAACAGGGATTACCTCAATGGATGCTGTATATTTGGCATCCTTTCGGGGGAATCCCTTTGCTGGGCAGGAAAGGGATGGGGTACCTCTCCAGCGAAGGGAAAGTGTTTAAATTTAAGGTAGTTAAATTTAAAACACTTTCCATTGCTTCTGGGGTTCCTGCCGCCTCAGCAGAGTGACTCCCCCACACGAAGGTGGCTGGAGCTCCAGAAGCAAGGGAAAGTGTTTTAAATTTAAACACTTTCCCTGCTCGCTTCAGCAGGCAGGCTGGAGAAAACACGGGGAGGCATTTAAAATGCTTCCCTGCTTCTTCTAGGCCTTCCCCAGCTTGTCTGCCTTGGTGGGTGGGCCAGGGAAGGCACAGGGGGCTCCCTGCAAGCCTTCTCTGGCTCATCCACTTTGGCGGGCAGGCGGGGGAAGGCACGGGGGGCTCCCTGCAAGCCTTTCCCAGTTTGTCCGATTTGGCGGGCAGGCTGGGGAAGGCACAGGGAGGCATTTTAAATACCTCCCCACTTCTTCCAGGTCTTCCCCGGTCCCCATAGGGTATAATCAAGCCGAATTAATTTGGCTAATCCAATAATTTCTAAACCCCAGTATCATGCCGATACTGGGATTCGGGAATATTGGCATATACCAAAAAATTTCGGGTTCGGTAAATCTGAACCCAAAAAATTCTGAATTATTTTTTGGTACACACCCTTAGTTTACAGGATAGCTCCATTCATTCACCATGTCTAGAAGGTGGTCCAGTTCCAGTATTATTATACACCGACGAATTAGTTTTGCTTTCCAGAACACAGATTGGTCTAAAGCGAGCAACATAAGCCTTCATGGCTTACTGCAGCAATGAGTCTAAAATTGTGGTATCTACAAAATCTAGGAAACAACTAATTAAAAGATGGAAATGTGATGTACGCTTAATGCAAGTGGTTAATGAACTCAGATATCTAGCAGGCGTGTTTCAGTCCAACCTACCCTGGTTCAAACACATTCAATATGTCAAACAGAAAACTGAACTAACTTTGTTAGCACTAAGGAAATATATACCGGCACTTCTAAGAGCTTGTGTTACCATGTATGCTTTATGGTTCACCAATTTGGTTTTCAGGCCCAATAATATTACTTGACAAGCTTCAGATAACCTTTCCCCACAAAATCCTTGTATGGCTCGAAATGGGATCTCTAAATATTTCAACGTTGATATGGAAAGCCATTATCAATTTCAAGTTTAGACTGCTTAGTGCCAAAGACCTCCCTGCTTTCACTCAAGTAGCAGCCTGTGAGTGCTACTGGTCTTTGTGGAACAGAATCGTGGATTACAAAATCACTCAATTGAGTCCATGGAGGCCTATGAACCACTTAACTGAGAAGAAAAGAGTGCTACTTTCGGACAACTTCTTATACAGGATTGGGACCATTTATTTAAAGATGCCAGAAGGAAATGTTCCACCACTTTATGTGGGAATCAAATACCCAGCTGAATTTGAAACCCCGCAATATCTCCATACACTTAAAGTTTCCAAACTAAGGTAGCTGTATATGATAGAGCGCTGCAATGCACTGCCCACAGCTCAGATGAAGAGTTGTTTCCTTAGGATACCTCCAGAAGAGTGCTTTTGCGACTGTCCTTTGTTGGTGGTTGATTCATTATCACATCTTTTTCTACTATATAAAATTTGCCACAGCCAGGGAGAAATTCCTTGTAAAGCGGCTTTCAAAGTATTCAACCACTTTGCATGTTCATAAATTAAGATTTTTAAGTAATTACAGCAAAACTTGCACAATTGATGTAGCTAAGTTCAGCTTTGTTGTTATTTCCAATTCTTTTTTTTTAAACCCCAAAGGGATATTTTTATTGTTTTTTCTTTAGACTACATAACTACAAAGAAATATATGGGGGGGGACTACAACTATGGATAAAGAAAAGATACCCACACTAACTAAAAACCCAAGAGAAGGAGATCACATCCGTGTTAAACTAAATAGTTGTATTTAAAGTGTTAGTAACACAATATACTTGTAAAGTTCTTGTTTTTCACAGCTTCTATGTTAATATGTTAGTTATTATGAGAGAACTTTCTGAGCATCTTCTTTACTTCAAAAGGCGATTTTCAAAGTCCTTCTGCCCTTACTTCGGTTTTCTATCTCTAAAATCATATACAGCTTTCATTGCTCCCGTACCCGTTTCAACCACAGAGTCCTCATCTGTTCCAGAGGTGGCAGAGTCACTTGATTTGGTTTCTTCGTCTTTGGATTCTTCCCCCGATCCCAGCTGACGTCTCAAGAATTCCTTGGCTTTAAAAATGGAGTCAATCTTCTCTCTTTGATTGTTGATTTTAAAGATGACACCTTCGGGGATCGCCCACCGGTACTGAATTCCGTTAGTTTGAAGAAAAGAGATTAAGTCCTTATAGCATTTCCTCTTTTGACGAATTTCAAATGGAATGTCCTTTAAAATCTTAATGATTGTATTCCCCAATTTCAGTGGAGTTGCTGATGTTGCCTTTAATATAGCATCTTTGGTCTGTCTTCTTGAAAATCTGACCAAAATCTCTCCAGGCAGGCTATTTTTTTAATGTAATTGGAGTAGGCCCGATAGGCGAGCTCCATATCTTTTACTATTTCATCCACTGGTAAGCCTGTTACTGGAGCAATAATCTCGCCCAGAGTCCTCTTCAAATCTTCTTTTTCAGTTTCAGGAACTCCCTGGAATCTTAGAATCATGTTGGCCTTTTCCATTTGCAGCTGTAACAAATGGTTTTCTTGGAGGTTTGGTTTTGTTTCCACATCTCCCATTATTTTCTTCATCTTCTTGTTTGCGGTGTCCATCTCTGTGATTTTCTCAGTCGCATGCTCCACTTTCTTCTGTTTCTGCCAGCTGGCGCTGCTGTAGAGCAAAGTTTTGGTTTAGTGAGGCCAATTGCTGGCTAATACCATCGAGTTGCTCCATCATCGGCTTGAGCATATCCGCTAACATCTTCATGACGTCTGATCCCTCTTCCGGTTTTGGGCTCTGACTGCCCGGTATTTTCACTTTTAACTTTCCTCGGGAAGCCGCCATTTTACAGCTTTGTTTACAATTTCAAACCGCTTTGCAAGGGCTCGAAAAATTCGTCGCTTCACTATCGGCACTCAAGTAAGTCTCTCAAAATAAGCTCGCTGTTTATTTCCTCCCTTCCCCCTTCGATACGTTTATCTGT